ATTCTGCACAGGACAGACCATGATGGTTCCATTAATAAATGTTAACAAATCTGAAGTTTTTACTTCCAAAAGTTATTTATTTTATCTTATCTGTCTTAAAAGACTTGTTACTGAATGTTTGTTCTTTTGAAAAATTATCCAAAGGTTTATTTTGTCACCATATATAAAATAATGAGAAATTATTTTTGACTTCAGTTGAATCAGATACACTCAAAATCAACTAAAAAACTTTTAACACACTTTATAACATATTTTGGTATCTACTTTGAATTTATTTAAAAACATAATGTCAAAAAATTTTCTTTTACAAATTTGTTGTAATATATTTTGTACAGTTTGTTTACTTTCTGATTAAACTGCTTGTTGTTTGAACTGTGTTTGGTGAATGTAAAAATAGCTTTAAGCTAAGATAATTTAGCTTTCTATTGATACCAAACATGTCCAGGTTCAACTTACAGATCTTAAGTTAACAGAAGTTAAAAGAAATAGAAAAACGGGAGATGATGTTTTGCCCCCCGGTACTGGGGGCATTGGGCTCAAGAGGTTAAATAAAAACAGAGCGGACGTGTTTTATCGGACGTACTTCTAAAAAGAAGAGCACTGCCACGATCTGGAAAGTTGGGCAGATCTTGCGGATGGTTTGAAGCTCGTTCCACTCGTTGGCCACAAAGTAGGTCCTCCAGATGCTGACTGGAGACGAGTCTTGTTGTGTGTCCGTGGCACCTGAAACAGCAGAAAATAAGCTAAACTGGAAACAAACCGGTCCAGTGACCATCTCCCAAAAACAACGATTGTATCTGTACCTTGCACGGATCTGTTCGGTTTACTCCGAGGCCTCTCCCAGTCGATCAGAAAAATATCAACCGACACCTGCAGGTAAAGCTCGTGCAGAAACTGAACAGCCTGGATTCAAACACACAGAATAACAGTTTTTTTTATTATTATTTCCAGATAGATCCATAAATCAACATGGCTCAGTTTAACAGTGGAACTTACCTTGAAAGCAAAGGCACAGCCGATGTATGTGACAAACCTCTCCTCCTGAGTCGGCGTCGGCAGCAAAACTGATACAAACATTTGAGCCTAAATCAATTCAGAAAGCAGACATGAACAATCTGAGCTCAATCTGGACAACAAAAAGTGGGTCAGGAAAGTAAAAGGAGGGAAAAAAAACTTGCCTTCAGAGTCTAAAGAATGCAGAGATGGAAAGAAAAAATGGGTTAAGAGACCAAGCAAAGAGAAAAATAACTAGCAAAACAAGACAGGAAGGAAAAAACTTGAATTAAAAAAGAAAAAGTCGATCCGATCCAAGTCTGTAAAACATACCTTGTAAAAGATGAGCCAGTAAAGTCCAGTTCCCACAGTGACAGCAAAGAAAGCATTGGCCAGATCACCAGCAAAGAACAAAAGAAACTTCCCAATCGTCTGAAAAGACCCAAAGAAACGTTCAGCGCCGATTCAAAGCTTTACACGTTCAGCGGTTTAAACAGTGAGACGGTACCGCCATGTCGATGAGAGCAGAGGCTATTCTTCTCTTATAGCTGGCTGTCCTCAGCAGGGTGCAGATAAGAGCCAGACCCCCCAACACACCCAGAGCCGTCTGCACACAGAACCACAGCTGAATGCTCTGCATCACGAGTCACACGCAACAGACACACAACAGACACGACTCTACTCACATCTGTCATCGTACGAGCATCAGTCTGAGACATCTCATACTCCACTGCAAAGCTGAGCTGGAAACAAACATGTGAAGCATTCATTTACCACAGGTTTGGTTTTTAGATTAATAAAACAGAATATGATGGTGAAGATTGGACCAGTTGTGATTAAAGGGAACTCCGACCAGCTGTAACATTAGACATTATTTCATAAACATTTTTCTCAAATACAAAAACAAGACTGTAAAAATACTGCAGGCTGTTAAGTTTTTATGGGTTTTAACAAATATATTCTCACACAAACGGCGCTATATTATTGGTCATCATTTACCCAGAATGCTTTGCTCAGTCTTGTATAAAGTGCCACAAAGTGAGACTTGAGTAAAAGTACAAGTATCTTACCATAAAAATTTTTTGGTAAATGTTAAAGCCTCCTCTAAGTATATTACTTGAGTAAAAGTCTTAAAGTATCTGATATTTTTGTGCTTAAGTATCAAAATTAAATTTCTGACATAAAATGTAATTATTAAAAGTAAAAGTATCGAGTAAAAATGAGTGGTTAGATTTTACAAAATGATATTTATTGGGAGGTGGCCTCCCCCAAAAAATGTTTTTCTAAATGACTATTAAAATATTAATACAAAAAATATTTAGGATGCACTAATGTAGCTGTTTCAGGTTTATACTGTATATATTTATATGTATTTACCACAAACATCTTCAGGCTACACAGGTCTGATCTGTCCTGCTGGAGTGTGACATGTGTGCCGTGCAGCTGTGATGGATTGTGTACATACTAATACTGTGTAAAAATGTTATATCTATATTTATACATCTCATTCAACCACAGTTACATTCACTCTCTCCAGGAGGCACAGTTTATCTTTACAGTATTTCTTTTAATAACAAGCAAAAATGAACTAAAAGTTACGACTTTATACTTTTTGCCCTTTTTAAAAAATGTAAGGTGTAGAAGTAAAACAAATTAAACTTTATCATTCTCTTAAATTTACACATTGATCTGACATTTTTAACGTCATCTTCCAGATTATTCCATAATTTTATACCCTGGACTGAAGTACTCAAAAGTACTAAATTTGGGTTTAAGAAACATCTCTCTCCCTTCAGACTGTAACAACTCTCTATTTTAATAAAATGTAATTGGATGTTTGAAGGTAATGTGTTTTTATGAGCCTGATACATAACTGGTAAAATACCATAATCAATCAAATCATAGAATTTCAATAACTTTAACTGATAAAATAATGTATTTGATGGGTGATAGTGTTGCTTCCTGGTGATTATGCTTATGGCTCTTTTCTGTAAAATAAAAACAAGATTTGCAACTGTTTTACATGCTTTTCCCCAAACATCAACACAATAAATTAAGTGTGGAACAATTATTGCATTATATAATTTAAACAGAGCTTTATCATTGAATAAATCCTTTACGTTGTACAATTCTGCAATGGATTTGGCTATTTTGGTTCTTAACAGATTTATACGAGGTCTCCATGTCAGTTGGGGCTCCCTTTAAGGTAAAGTCTAGAGGCATTCTGCTTTAATCCAGTGGCCTACAGAACAATAAATGTGTGTAAAAGTACTCACAGACACAGTTTGTGTGTTGATATCTGTGATGAGAACATCAGTGTAGCTCACAGACACAAGAGGGGGATATATTTGGCCCACTTGGGTTCGTGGAACAAGCTGGAACCTACAGAGTACACATTTCAGATTCACATTTTAGAAACAGTTTTCACATTATTTACCATCCTGATGGTGAACGCTGGTTATTTGACCTGATTGTGATTGTGGTGGCAACACGAATGACTTTAGGAGAAGAACTTAAACTCTTCTCCCGTCCACTCAGCGTGTCGACCAGAAACACTCTTCGAGACAGGTACCAGTTCTTCATAGTCCCTACAGGAAGAAAAAAAACACTCATCACAATAATCCTCATGTTATTTACTTTAAAAATAAAGTAAAACCTCACCCTGATTGATATATTGGCCATTGTATTGCTGGTTTTGAACCAGCGTTGGCAGAGGAAGAAGGTTTTTGTTTTGTCCTCCAACGTCCATGAAAACATCATAGAACTGTGGTTCAGGATGGGCAACCAACAGGGCTGCTACAGAGAGATCACACTGCGCACGCACACACACACACACACACACACACACACACACAC